CTGGTGCCAAGAACATCTTTGTTCAGCTGTTTCGGTCCTAGGAGGACAAGGACTGCCGTTGTTACGCGGTGGTGGCTGCCGGCGGGGATATGCTGGCGATCTTGAAGCGGCGCCGTGGCATGGATGTTTTCAAGGTTGACTCTGCTGGGAACGTGGTGGAGAGGGTGAAGAGCATCGGTAGCCAAGCTCTCTTCCTCGGCGTCAGGTGCCTTGTCGTTGACGCCAATTGCTTCCCAACAGTGGAGGCCAACTGCGCTTACTTCCTTCTCGATGACCTATCCTCTTGCCGGCGTTGCATCTACAAGTTTAACATTGGTACTTATGGCAACCAAGAACCAGAGCTTGTATCGGCAGACTTTGGCCCTTTCACCTTAACGCAGCTCCTCTGCAACTACACGGTGGACATTCCAGATCATGAGCTAACGTGGGAAGGATACTTCTCCTACCTCGATGAGGGCTATATCCAGGATGGTGATTATGAGGACTATATCGACTATGTCGACAACGACGAATTCTACGATGGTGTTGCCTATTTAAATCATCTCTTTGATAGATACAGTATGGTTTAAGGGTTAGGGCACTCCCAATGCTAAAAATTATATGTAGTTTCTATACCTATTAATTTCCATACACACTATATATAGAAACCATGGTCCCAATGGATAGTTTCTACTGAACAATTTTTTATCCAATCACATACATTCTCTCTCCATTCTTCGCATCCTTTCATGTCTTGGTTCTCGTATAGACAAGGTTTCTAACTTAGACCCGGTTTCTATAATTTTTTCTTTCTCTCTTCAATAACTATCCTGCCACATCAGCGAAACGCTTAGGTGACAGTATAATTAATGTCTATAGAAACTATGGTGGTTTTTGCATTGGGAGTGCCCTTACTTGTTAGCGGCATGACCGACTTGGAGAGGTTAAGCCTGGCGATGTTGTTGAGGATTGAATTTGTTGGCGTTGTCGGTGTTGCGACAGACTCTTGAGGGATCAAGCTTGGCGGCGACTAATTCAGCAATTTTCTAATTGAAATAAAATCATTTATTCGAAATTTTAATTTAACGGTAGAGAAAAGGAAAACCGAGCGCTGAGCACAATTTCCATGTGGCAACCGAGATAGGTCCCCTTGTAACTAGCAGGTCGTGCTGCACGCTGCAGCGTTGGCTTGCAATTTGCAGTTCGGAAAAGGAAGGCTAGGCGCGTAGTTGTAATTTCCGATGAACTGTGTCAGTAAATGGCCAGTTACACCGAAAAAATCTAATGGCAGTAGCACAAACTCTGCAAACTCTGCAAGTTTCGTCCAGAAACTCTACTATATTCTCTCAAAAACCCTGTGAAAACACTGCCTCCATGGTGCACTTCCAGCTATATATAGTATAAAATGGTAAAGCGAGAAAAACATTGGTCACAAGTATATATATTATGTAAAAAGATGAACTAGTACAGGATTATTAGCAGCACCAGCCTTCAAGTTATCACAGTCTTTTCTCTTATCAATTAAAGCTCTAGCAAAACTTGATGAAGTCAGAAACCTAGTAGCATGCTCCACACGTTCTAGAGCTATGCCTGAGCATTCAAATAGCACTGCATCTCCTACACAAAATCATGATTTAAATCATCTATACTAAAATAGTTTCAATATATATTTGGAAAGCTAAGTATAACAGCACATATACTCACCATTATATTGTTAAAAGACAGACACAACACTTTAAGACAAATTTGATGCAACTTCTTTACTGAGCTCCTTCCTGACACATTGATTTGAGCCCGGGAGAAAGGCACCTAGTTAAAGCAACATGATACAATATGGCTGTGAGCGCTCGGATGGAGCTGTAAGAATCATGTGCGTAAAAAGGGAAGGGTCAGCAAACCTGAAATCAATAGCTCAGTTGCCTCTCCACCACTGCAAATTCTTTTGTTCTCCTCTGAGCTTCTTGTGAGATCTTCAGCTTGTATTCCCCTTCAAGCTTATTGGGAGAAGCTCATCACCCATACTACTTGTCAGCATATTTTCAGTGCCGAAGCAGTAAAGAATGCAAAATGTGGGTCAGAACCAGTAAAGCAACGTCATAAATCCATCCCTCAAAACTTGAACAACTGAAAGGCATGAGCTTACTTAGGCCTTCTTACTTTTGTGCAGGATGTATGTTTCTAGCAGGACATTAGCACATAGATATTAGTTTACGACTGTACTGTACCTTCCAAGTTCTAACTATAACTAGAAGTAGCAATATTTGTTTTGTATGTTCAGTAACTGCTAACATTTTGTATGCTCAGTTCTGTAACTAGTAGCAGTAACAACAATGTGATGTCATTTCTGGTTGTGTTGGGAACAAATTAAACATCGGTATCTGCACCGCTCTGCGGTGCCAACTGACAATTTCGACTTTTCTGGTTAAAAAGGACACCATTCACAAATGCATGATAGCAGGCTAGTCACTTGTTAGTCAGTAATGTAGTAGTAATACCAAGATAAGCGGAGTTTTCAGTGTTTATTTAGCCGCAGCTGCTCTGTGTAACATGCTGTTAAGCTAGCAGCTCATTTCCCTTTACAATTTCCTGAATTTTTTTGAAACTAATTTTTTTTATCAAGTAAGCCACTGCATTTTATCACTTCCCTGCTTATAGTTGGTATGATATTAGCGTCAGGCAGCGCCTGCTCAACAGGGCACTGCATTTAAGGGCTACAGGTTTGCAACAGAGGAATGGACATGCCTCTCTAGATAACCTACGAGCAATCTTTTGCTGTGAATTGGCTACAATGCATTTCAAGGTATGAATAGATTGCTACAACACACACCATCCATGCTTTTCTTTAAAAAAAAAACTGAAATAAACCGGTGCAAGCGGTATAGTCTTACCGCCTGTGACCAGAAGGTTCCGGGTTCGAGTCGCGGTCTCCTCACATTGCACAGGCGAGGGTATGGCTTACCACTGACACCCTTCTGCAGACCCCGCACAGAGCGGGAGCTCTCTACTCTGGGTACGTCATTTATATAGTAGAGCTTATGATTTCTGAAGCCATATCAGGGATGCCTAGCTAAGACTTGAGTTCAGTACTTTTGGGATGTCAGTATGTATGTAGTATGTAATTGGGTAAGACTTGGATGATCAGGGTTTCAGGAGTCCGCTGTCGCAGGAAAATCGAAGGGGAGAGGGAGGGAGAAGGATGGTGTTTGTACCTGTTGTCAGGCCGTCCGTTGAGAGGGAAGGGGAGGGGCGGCGGCGCGGCGCGGCGCGGCAACGGTAGCACTATCGCCGCCAGACCTCCTCCGACTTCAAGCGCGCGACGCTTGATCCTTCCACGAGACGGAAGAGGCCTCTTTTTCTTTTTTCTGTATATATATGGCCTACTACTGCTAATTCTTTTACGACGACGGTTGGAAAGACCCCGGTCTTTCCCAAATCCGAGCCGAGAGAGACCTCTCTCCTTTACGTGACACATGGCATGTATAGTATAGCAAGCTCCAACTCCTTCCATGAGAGAAGTTTTATTTTACAAAGGGAGGAGACTGGTAGCGTACACTCTCCCTCCACGATCCAATTGCAACAACACAGATAGTCTACTGAATTCAGAATACAAATCTGTGAGAGATGCTACACTCTCTGAGGTGGCAGCAGAGAAGGGAATCGAACACAGAGCAATCTCTAGAAGGTTCCAGAAACACAGGTGGGTACGGTAGCTTGAGGTAGAGGAAGCAGAGATGCTAGAGGAGTGAGACAGAGTTGTGTCTCTGAATAATTCCTCGATGCCCATCTCAGTTGCTCTCCTCTACTCCTCTTGCGGTCAGTTCTAGGGACTTTTTTAGTTTTAATCCTTTTTTATTCAATATTTCAAAAATTGCTGATATGTCAGTTCTAGGAGCGATTATTATTGAAATATTGAATAAAAAAGATTAAAAAATATAAATTCTCCCCAGTTCTACAGGCAACAGCTACGCCACGGCCTATGGCCCATCTGATGGCCCTAGCATGCTAATCCATATATTCAGAACCTCTGTCTTCCTCTGGTCTGTCTCCTCCTCGTCCCCTGCTCCTCTTGCTGCTCCACCCCAATTTCATGCTAATCCAGCCTTTAAATTCCTCTCCAATCTCCACCGATATCTTGTACCCGGTGTTTTGGACACAACACACTATTATGTAGTTCTCCATTTATTAAAAAAAAACTGTCCTTTTTTTAAGCCCGATAATAAGCTCAATCTTTTTTTATGGAAAACCCATTATTTGATATTCTAAAGAAATCAGTTGCTACAAATTTGGACTACTCGGCCACATCTTGTCAGTAACTTTATCTGATGTACAAGCAGTCAAGCATGAGCCCAAAACTGCAGCTTGGTCATAGAAGAAAACATGGACCTGGGCACCTGGCAGAACTCCGGCTACATCTTATTCCATGTTTGCAAGAATGCAAATTGGGATGCCAGTTTTGTGGTCTCATTTCATTCAAATTACATGGAACCGCATTTGTAGGTACAGCCGCAAATGGAGAACCACAGGGCATAAGCAAGACCAGCTGAGAGATGACCCTTCAGTGGAAGTGGCTAGTTCAGGCAACCGAGCTGGGAGCAGCAAATTCACTGAGGTATACTCTTCAAAGAGAAATTATGGACGCCTGCGGCAAGAAATGTACAAGAGGTGCAAATGCATGTGTGGCGTGGATATGACTGCTCTTCATGTCATGGGTTATTTTCCCCCATATGTGCATCTTTCTTAGAAACTAGAACAGATCGGCGAGTGCGGCTGTAAGCATTAATTTTGACGTCAAAGAAGTGCTGGACACCTCAAATGGACAAATCACTAGGTCTAAGTAGATGAATAATACATCATTAGTAGTCCTCCTATACCTACCATGAATTAGTAGCTACTTATGTAAAACTCTAACATTCTATAAGAGTGGTGTGAGCCAAAAAGCCTAAACCCCATCTGATATATCTGTAGCTCTATATATATATACAAAAGAATGCAGTACTACTAACTATAAATCAAATGTGTCATCAGGCGCCTTGGATTCTGATTTCCATGTAGACCCGTTGATTTCTTTGAAAGAAGCTGGTGATCTGTTGCAGCACAGGGACCAAACCAATAGGCAGAGTAGCTGAAGCTGCGACGTGAGCATGACTCAGGGTCTTGTCATGCCTAGTGCTCTCCACGTCTCTTCTTTTCCTCAACTTTTCCAAGTCCATTACACGGTTGTCATGGCTGTAGCGAGGATTCTCCATGGTACTCAGACCAAGTTCTATCTCCAAATCCTTACACTTTCTGTTGTAATCTTTGGAAGCGTGATCGGCTTTCCGCTTCTGTCGCTGCTCATCTTCTTGGCTCTTCTTGAATTCATGCACGACTTTAGAGAACTGGTCGATTGCTCTCAGCACATCATTCTTGGAGACCATCTCGATTGCTTGGAACCAATCATTTGAGATGATGAATACAGGTGGTGCTAAAATCCTGCCTGGGGAGAAAGGAGGGGGCCCATCTGCTGTAACTTCCTCCTGCACCTCAGGGAGCCATTTCTTCAACCATTCATTCAGCGCCTCAGCGCAAGACCTTTGCGAGCTCACCCACTTGTTGAAGCAACGGTACCATTTCGTGAGCTCCCGTTCCAAATCCCGTGAGGCCTCCGCACCAGATTGGCTTACAGTCATCGCCTTGAGCCGATGAATTCTACTGTCTTGTATGGCTAATAGCTGCTTCTCGTGGCATTCCAGAACAGCTTTCCACAACCTTCTGAACCTGTAATAAATCATATCGATCAGATAAATTCAATCTTTTGAAGACAGAGACAATTTAAGGGAGTATATTCATACCTTTGGATGAGATCAACCAGTTGAGGGTAAAGCTCTTCATCTCGAATCTGCTGTATCTTTAACGAAAAGGCTTTAGCTGTACTCATGTTGATGCTGATCTTGGACTTAAGATGTCTTACAGATAACTGGACGGAGTGAATTGTACTTGATTCAGCACCTCGATCATCCATGGATTTGAGCCTTCTGTAATACTTCTCGTACTTCATCCGTAGCTTTTCTTCATCCTAGAACAACCACCTAACGATGTTCAACAGATATTTGGCAATAAATCAGACAAAATATGAAATAGCGCCTACATTTTCTTGTCCTATACACTAACACAACTACTTCAATTATAAATTTGTCGCTGAGAGGACAAGTGTGTACCTTAATTTCCTGATAGAGCTTCTTTTCCCAGAACCACAGCTTCTCTAGAGTTGATGAGAGATGGCCAATACCATTGCTACGGCCAGCACCTGACGAAGCTGAAGTGTTTGCCTTGCTGCTTGATGCTCTTGACTTCATGCCATGTGATTTCCGGAGGCAAGACGATGTCGACACAGTAAGGCCTAGCGGATCTATCACTCTGGAAGAGATATCTGCAAAAGATGGAAATGAATAGTTTTACATTATTGCACTAGCACATATAACAGAAGCATCAAAGCTAAAATCAATTTCAAGCATGGTTGCACTCAAATAAAGCAATGCATTACCCACATCTAAGAACTCTTGGGGTGTCGCGGGGAGGCATTTTCCCCACCTCCAGCAGCCTTGAGACATCTGTGCTGCAGTTTGCCGCCTCATCGAATAGCTCCTTGACCTCACCAATCGCCTCTCTGACATCCCTCGTTCCATGATGCAATGGCGAGAATGGCTCGCTGCTCACCACCGACTGGATTGACTTGCCATGGCTCTCCCCACCTCCTTCTGCTGCTCTGATGGATTGCTCTGCTTCGAAGGCCACACCTTTCTTCTTCCCACTGGTGCTGCTGCCATCAGTGCCACTGCTAACTGTGCCCTTTAGGCTCACCGTGTTCTTCTTCCTCTCTTCTTTGCTTTTCGAGCTGGCATTGCTTGGCACGGAATCATTTCTAGACACTGGTTTCCCTCCCTCGCCTTCGGCATCAGCAGCCGGCTCCGATCCCTTCCTCTGTAACTTGCCATCAGGAGGTGGTTCTGATCCCTTCCTCTGCAGCTTGCCACCAGAAGAATCGCTGATTGAAGTGGCATCCCTGTGCAGCTTGCCCCCAGGAGAATCGCCCTTTGAGGTAGCATTCTTCTGCAGCTTGCTGTCACCAAAAAAATCGTCGTTCGAAGCGGCATTGTCTTGAATTGGTCCCTTCCCCTTGATGTCCTGATCAGAAACCCCGGAAGTCGATGGCTTGGATTTCTCCGCCTTCCTCTCTAACTCGGCCTCGTCCTCAAGCTCCGGGATCCCCTCCATCCTCCTCAGCTCGGCGTAGTTGGGGCTGTTGGTTGGCTGATTCCCGGCAGCGTAGTCTTCCATGAACTGGTCGTACTGTGCGAACGGGTCCAAGAATTCCCACGGCGAGGCCTCCGCTGTCGGGGGCGAAGGCGGCGGCCCAGGATGCCTCGGCGCCGCCTCCGGGGTCTCTCCCGCAATTACCTCGCCGTAGGGCCCGTACGGGTACGCAGGCCCGTAGCTGTGGCCGTAGCCATTTCCGTAGGCGTGGCCGTACCCGTCGCCGTAGGCGTATCCGTAGCTGGCCTCGGCTGTTGTGTACTGGGTCTGGGCGTCGGGGTCCTCATACACCACGGTGGGCACGGTGGACGATCTCCTCATGAAGTGGTGGTGGTACCTCGTCGACGCCTCCTCGCTCCCGCCACCGCCGCCTCCATGTCTGGTGTCGTCAAGGTCATGGAGATGGAGGTCGTCGTCGGAGAGGGAGTGCGAGAGCGGCGAGACGGTGGACGACGAGGACGACGGCGACGGCGGGACGCTGGCGGACGCGGTAGCCGCGGCGACCGGCTTGGCGGGGAAGGCGGGAGCGTGAGCACCGGCGAGGAGGACTCGGGCGTGGCGGGCGCCAGCGCGGACGCCGCGAAGCGCCGGAGCGCGTCGCCGACGGCGGCGAGCGAGCGGAAGTAGGCGGCGTGCGCCGCAGTGAGCGCGTACCGGCTGTCGGCCGCGGCGCGGATGAGCGCCACGCGCTCGCGGCACAGTGCAGCGGGGTCTCCTCCGGACGCGGACGCGCGGCGCGCCCTGGCCCGGGAGCTGGAGGAGGTGACCGCGGCGGCGAAGGCGTCGTGGGAGGTCGTGCAGCCCATTGCCGCGCGGGAGGGCGAAATCCTAGCTCCGGAGGTGGTGGAGGCGTACGGATACAGCGGGCTCCGGTCGCTCGTCGGCGTCCATTATATACAGGGTACGGACGGCGGCAGGGCGCGCTGCGCGCGTCTCCGACTCGGGGACGGGGACGGGGGGAAAGTATGGCGGCGCGCGGTGAGGCGGTGATGGAAAGCGGCGCCGGGATTGGGAAAGCGCGTAGAGAGAGGCGGCGCCGAAGGCGGAAGGCGGAAGGCGGGGCGGGGCGTGATGAGATGGAGGCGCAGGCGGAGGAGGCGGAGACGAGAATGGAACGAGTAGTTGTGCCTTTTGCCTTCGGTTTCGATTTCTTCTCTTTTTGCTATTTCGCCCTCTTCTTTCCTCTGATTTCGTATCTTAACCTTTGTGATTGCATTACATTACATTACATTACATTTACATACAATTATACTCCGTAATAAAATTGGAGTTAAATTGGACCGTAACATGCTCCTTTTGCCATAGTTTTCACTTACTTTTTCAAATCACAGTACACAACGCTCACGTATATACATAGACAATCATAATATGGGAAATACTAGATATATCATAGATATTGAAATCCATTCATCACATCCTTTAAAATTGTAGCGGTTTCATGGTATTTTTTTTTCAAGAAACTACTTATGGCATGCCTTTTTAGGAATAATTGTGAAAAATATTATATACCCTACCAAAACCATGATGCGTATAACATATTTACTCCCTCCGTTCCAAAACAAGTGTCGGTCTCACTTCCCGAGGAGTGGAACGTTTAACTTTGACTAAATATTTAGAAGAAAATATTAATTTTTGTAGTCTATAATTAGTATCATTAAATAGATCGTTGAATCAATTTTTCATAATGAATAATACAAATGTTGTTTATATTTTCTGTAAACTTAGTGGAACTTAATAAACTTAGTACCATAGCAACACTTATTTTGGTACGGGTGAAGTATTTTATAATGCTGGAGGTTATACATAAAGTTTATAGCACAAGGTAGCACGTGGTTCTGGTGGTGTAGCCGTAGGTCTACTGAGCCAAGTGACAAGGTATAGCCGAGTGTATGCAATTCGCAATAATATTAGACAGCACAATCACTATAGTTCTAACCCATTGACCATATATAAATCCTAGAGTGGTCTATCCAACGTGCCACCTAGTACCTCTGTCCATAGGTCCTTACTTTATGAGAGCCACATCGCACTACACCTTGGTTGGGAAATTTCTCCTATATGCATAACAGCGTAAGTATATATACTTGGCAAAATATGTAGTGCGAATATACAAACTTTCTCAAGAAAACATACATCTGTCTTTTGAAAGTTTTTGAAACGGTGCATATCCATAGTGCATCAATACATATATATATTTTGTCGCAAAAAGTTAAGATTCAAACTCTATAGAAAAAAAATCATACAAAAATAACAAAATCTAGGTGCAAGCGCACTACTCCCTCCGTCCCATTGAATGTATCGTTTTTGACTTTTAGACTTCTTATTTGATCGTTCGTCTTCATTTTTTATGCAAATAATAAAATAAATAAACTATTATTAAAGTATCTCTAACGATAAAATAAGTTATAACAAAATAAATAATATTTATATAAAAATTTAAATAAGACGAACAGTCAAACAAGAAGTCTAAAAGTAAAAAACGACACTTTCAATAGGACGGAGGAGTACAAGTCAAATACTCAGTAAATTTGACTTCCAGTTCACATGCACTGCAGTTTTGTTAACTGCGAAAAACACCATTTGATTTCAAAGTAGCTCGATCTAATTCAAAATTTTCCCCTAATTGAGCACGCCACGCATATTCTTTTTACAAAATTAGCCAACTTGAGTCACGAATTTAAATGAAATCTTATTTTAACCTTTTGATTTCTATATTAAGGATACACTGACACTGAATCTCATGCCTTATCGAGCATCGTATCCCATCTTAAAGTTGGTTTATTCGGCAGCAACAATTTTTGCATAGTTTTTTTTTCTAGATTTTGAATATCAACTTTTGCAGCAGTGTGCATATTTGGATGTCATTTCAAACTTCTTGAAACGACGAAAGTATACTATTTAAAATGTTTGCATATCTACACTTACCTTTAGATTTACACTGCATATTTTGTCTATACTTTATTTGGTACATAGAAGGGAGAGATTGTATGAGCTGACAACACACCGTCATGCACAAAACGGAACGGAACGGGAGGAGAAGGAGCTCGAACGCGTATGCGGCGGGCATGGCATTAAAGCGGAGAATTCGACGGAGACGACAGTCTACAGGCCATGAACCATGGCATGGATCACCGCAACGCCAAGGCGTAACAGAGTCGCCGCAATGAAGAGGGGTCATCAAATTCAAAAGCCATGGAACTGGAGAGAAACAGAAACGCCGTGGTTTAATTTTGGCATAATTTGACAGCCTAGCAGCACAGCACCCTGGGCCTATTAAAATAGGACTATTGACTCTTACTAAAAATAGCACTAGCTCTAACTCCTCTACTTTATGCTGTCTAAAAAAATTAGCAAAAGTGGTTTTTCTAGTAATGATCTTGTAATTTCTGCCAAATTTATATCCACTCTCATTCTTAAACAGGAACTAAACAACAACCGAGTGTTTTACCTAGATTTCACACGCGATTTTGCAGCCGCTGGATCTGAGCGTAGAGTAGGGGCGCAGACGGCCGGATCTCCCCCTGCCGCTCCTGCCTTCTTCTTCCTCCCCCACTCCCGCGCCCGTGGTCTTCTTCCCCAGCTCCGGCGCGGCGGCTAGGATTTCGGCGAGCTCTCCCCCTCTTCCTTCTCCAACTCCGGCGGGTATATAAGGGCCCGGCCGGGGAGAGGTAGGTAGGCCAAGCGGTGGGGATGGTGGTCGGGCGGTTTAGGGGAGCTGGCGGTGGTAGCGGCGGCCGGGCCAGGTCGGGGCGGGGGAGGCTCGCCGGAGTTGGAGAAGATGGTGGCGGTGGGGGGAGGGGAAGGAGGCTGCTGCGCCGCGAGCACTAGGGTTCGCCGGCCGGCGAACCCTAGCGCCCGCGGCAGGGGGCGACGAGAAGGAGAAGGGCGGGGTGCTCGACGGCGAGGGAGGGAGCAACGGAGGAGGGGCGCGGATGGCCGGATCCACGAGGAGGAGGAGGAGGCCTGCCCGATCCGCCATGGCCTCCGCCGAAGAGCTTGGCAAGGGTGGGAGGGCGGGCGCGAGGAGGCGGGTGTGTGTGGGGAAGGAGTCTAGTGTGGGAGAGGGGAGGAACACTCGGTTTCTATATAGACAGACTCTTCTTAAAACAACGAGAACTAAGAAGGAGCAGGTTGAAGCCGCATTTTTAGAGTCTCTTTGGCATAAGAAGCAAAAAACACAGCTTCACCCCCACAAGCCTATAAAAAGGTGATGAACCTAGAGAAGCCACATTAGACTGCCTTCACTCCTATACATGACAAAACAACTTCGGGGCATTCTCCTGTCCCGATCTTATTTCACGTTGAGCTGTTTGGCGGGACTTCGCTTTAAGTCAAGAAAAAAAAATGAAGCTAAAACCATTTAAAACTCTGTCAAAGAGACTCTTAGTTTGTGCTTCACAAGGGAAAGACAGTTTCAGCTCTTTTGTTTGGGGTGCTCAAAACCTGCTCTTGATCAGGTCGTTCGGCGGAACCCGAGCAAAACCAAACAAACCCTTGGCCACGTTTAGTTGGTGCCTGATTCGGTGCCGCCCGAATTGGTGAAGGTACTGTAGCTACAGTATATTTTGTTTTTATTTGGTGATAATTGTCTAAACATTGACTAATTAGACTCAAAACGTTCGTCTCGTAAAGTACAACTAAACTGTGCAATTAGTTTTTGATTTCGTCAACATTTAGTACTACATGCATGTACCGCAAGTTTGATGTGATGGGAAATCTTCTTTTTACATAGTGCCAAAGTTAGGAATTTAGTGGAACTAAACAGACCCCTTATAACAAATGTACTACTCTAGACACAATTCGTGCTCTACACGGCTGGCCTGCAGCTGCAGCTCTATGCACTGCATGCAAAGTCCACACGAAGCGCGTAAAAAAAGGAAGGAAAAGTAATGGAAAAAGGCAGCACATGACAGATCCAGCCTGTTCGGGAGGCCGTATCGTATCGTGGATTATTTACTGCTGGCTGGTTTGGTGTGAGAGAAAAACACTGTTCCCGACTGGAAATTTACGATCGTTTACGAGCCAGCGAACAGGCTGCCTGAGATCCGTCCATTTCCATCGGTGAAAAATGATGAAGAGCACAGCACGATCGTGGTTGCTGCCACAAACGATTTTGAGTTGACGCCCAAAGTGGAGTCCTTGCAACTTGCATTGTTCCTTTCTTTTTTTTTCTTTTTTGATTGCCTCAACTGAGTGAGAAGTGACTCCGAGATAAATGGAATCTCTCCATGTGCTTGCGTTGCCATTTCGCCCCCTCTCTTTGTTTTGTTTGGTTCATTATTTCAGTGCCTCGTGGACGTTGAACCTGACATCAGTTGGAGATGGGTTGCATTGGGTGGTTATATTAGCATTAGTTTAAATTATTTGATTTGAGTGACGACAACTGGAGCCGTTATATCGATTATCGAACAAGGACTAGTTCAATAAATGAAAAAGAAGAGAAGGAAATTGTACTATCCTCCTGCCCAGCCATTTTTATTTAGAGATGTGGTTGAATATATTTTAGCTTGATGACCGAGTAATTAAACTAATTTAATTTGGCTGGCTGCTCTACTGATATGCATACCATATACTCCGTACTTATATAGTAGTACTAGTGTACGTACTACTTGTATAAGGTTATTAATAATATAAATAATGCGCTGGTAATGCGACGTGAAAATTTGGGTACCAATCCGTGTTGATTCATTGTTTCTCAGCATCACAAGCTTGATACAGAAAGTGCCAACTTCTTTTGCCACGAAACGACGACGAAGGAAGGCCTTGCCGATCATGTGGGAGCGAAAAGGAATGCATACATACACCT